ATTCACTTGCACAAGCAGTCGATATTGAATCAGCTACGCGGGCCATCTTTGAATCAATGCGCTGCACACAGCTTTACATTAAAATAAGGTTATATCCATTTGAAATAGTAAAGCTAGAATTACCGCCTCGCAGTTATATGCCTCCAACAAGCAGTCAAGTAGCAGGAAATATGGTCACAATCTGCCCCTCTGTTCCTGCGTTACAGCGTTGAATAATGGACAGTGTTTTTGCAGGATATTATCATGTCACAGTGAAGTGGACCTTTGACCTTTTGGATATAAAATGTCATCACTTCATTGTTTTATCCATTTGTGTTCATTTGTGTTATAATTAGTGTATGAATTATTGAGTTATGGTCAGAAACGTGTTTTGTAAGGTCACAGTTACCTTGACCTTTGACCACCAAAATCTTATCAGTTCAGAGTCCAAGTGAGCATTTGCTCCAAACTTGAGAAAATTCCCTCAAAATGTTACTGAGATATTGTGTTCACAAGAATGAGACAGAAGACCAAAAACATAATGTATAAATACAAAATCCGAATATGGCAGTCAATGTTGATATTGTGACGGGCTACCAAACAGAAATGAATGTATGGCAAACACTAAATAATACAGACTGCCTGCGTCGACTTACCACAAAATTGCCAAAAAGTAAGCATGCTGAACATTCTATTAGGAAAAATAACCACAAAAACAGTATGTGATGGCCCATGGCTATCAATGTTGTTACTGGTATAGCTTGACTGATTTTTTTATGCTGATACCAATATTGATATTTTGGAATTTAAAAAACATTCCCTCCATGCACTTGCTGTTATGTTGCCACTGGTCTCTCATCTGCAGTCCCAATTAATTCCCTTCAAAGCTCAACATGGTCTGGCGGCTACAGGGGGGTAGACTACCCCTTCTTCTTCTCCTGGTAATCCTTAAATTGACTATCTAAGTGCCATAGAGGGTTGAATTTCTTTCCCAGTCTGACAATCACGTCACTGTTTTGGCCAATGCCCAGGATGCTCACTTGATCCTAGCTTCGGATGCCGATTGCAGTTCACTTAACAGCCACCAGTGTGACTGAATGTTAGTTATAGAACCTTTAAGGTACAAAGATAAACAACATAACTCATCAAAATTAATATGTTAGAATGAATGATATGAGCAAAGTCTGGGGTTATCATGTGACATTATTAGATAAAGTGGGATTCAAATTGTATTCTACTAGGTGAGGCATATGAGTCAAGAAGCATTAAAATTGTTTTGAACATGGAGTGTGGTCTTAACAAAGCCAATCTCGTAGAGCCTCTATGTTACAGCTGCTTGAGCTCTCTCACTAAGGGAAGGAAGTTCAGTGTCAAAACTGTTACCAAAGGTGTACTATAAGGGCAGGAAGCAGATTTTTCCTAGCAGTGTCAAACTGAAGTGTGTGTGTCGAATACAGTGTGCGTTGTGTGCAGGACAGGACTTGGTTGGCTTCCAGGCTGAATTATATTTAACTGTTTCAATCCTTTTACACAACAGGATGCTAGGTTGTTAGCATGCATTTTAGGGATGGGGATACTCGTGCATCTGCGCACGTGTTGTTTTTTGGCTACAATAGTTCAACTCAGTTGGCATTACGTGCACCATGGCAGCCATGACCAGGAAAAGTGATGTCTGGAAATACTTTCATAAAAAAGACGACAATAACATGCAGTGCAAGATATGTGGCGTTAAACTTGCATATCATGTTCTCCAACAGCCAAACAGTAGGCTTGGTTGGGGGAGGTCCGTGTCCGACTGGAAACACAAGTTTAACATTGGTTCCGCTTGTGTTTCCAGTCCGACACGGACTTCCAGTATTTATTTTTTTACGGTAAAAAAAATAAAAACATATATATATATATATATATACTGTTGCTCATAAAGTTGGAATAATCTTTTTTTTTTATATATATATATTTTTTTAGCACCAAACAAATGTTATGCATGAATTCATTTCACCTGGGTAATTGGGACACATAATGTAATCACTGCACCTGGTCAAAAGTGATTACTGATGAATTTAAATAGGAATAAACAGAGGATTGTGTCTGAAACAAAATCATTCCAACCTTATGGGCAACAGTGTATATATACTGTATATATATATATATATATATATATACATATATACATATACACACACATACATATATATATATATTTATATGCATTTACATACATGTGTATTAAATATGTTTTATCCTTCAGGAAGTATGATTTATTACTACTTCATTTGTCCTACAACAGAGTATGTTTGTGTGTCTGAAAACTTTACAAATTAATTTTTGTAAGCTTGCAATGGTTTGGTTTGTTGCACACTGGATGATTACATCTTGTTCTATGTGTCTGAAAATATTTATATTAGTTCTTTAGCTCAATACAAATACATCATTTCGCAATTTCAAACTTTTCCAGACTCATTTCTGACATCATCAACTAGTAGCACTAGAAAACAATAAAGCATGTGTGGGCTAGTCCCACCTGAAACAGGTTTGGGTGGATTATTGCACAATGGATTGCAACATGCCCAGAGATATATAAAAAAGTGAAATCGTAATTAATTTCATCATTTAGCAGTTTGATGTGAGAGTGAGATTATAGAGCCCTGCTCTATTGGAAAATCATAAGCCTACATCCGAGAAAATCCATGACATGAACTGCGAAAAGTTCTGAATTCTGAGTGTGTTGGCATGGAATAATTGCTAATGTTTCGTAAAACTTTTATTTCTTTTTTATTTGCTGACCATTTTATTTATCATTTACGTTTTTACAAACTTAGGGCCTAAGGAGAGAGGGTGTTGTATCCTGGAAAAACTGCAAAGACTTTTAAGGCAAATTGAGGATTTGGGTCTACTAACACAAAACTGACTTGACTTGAAACTCTTTGCAGGCTAGTTGTCATACAAAAAAATATAGTAGCAAGAAACCTGACTACTCTTCCATGGTGCTGGACTAGGAATCACTGGCTTGTTGAGAGCCCTGGTATAAAGTCTGACAAATTATATTGGTACCACTCCATTTTGGGATGGAAAGTTCTGATTGATTGTACCAGACATACAAAACTCAGACGAAAACTATTTTGGAACTACGTCACAGGAATGAGATTCCCGTCATTATCTAAACCATCACAACAGCAAAAGTCTTAAAAGGCACATTGTTGACATAAGGTCGGCCAAGTTGTACCAGAGACATACATCTATGCTGCTGAAAACACAGATACTGCTGAACGTGTTGACCTTTATTCAACCATATACATGCAAACTTGTTTTTTTTTTTATATATCCAATTCTTTCATAAGCCACATCTTTATCTAAATCAAATGTGGTGACAGGTTCATTTGTTTTAAAATCCGCAATATCATTATTAAGTTTTAGCTCAGACAATTAGTCGATTAATTGACAACCGAAAATGAACTGAAAACAGTTCTGATAATAGCTATTTTTTTTAGCAATAATGACAAAATCTGATAGTAGGGTTTTGGACTGTTGGTCGGTAAACTTGCAAGGCAGCTACCAGGCTCCAAGCTATTGGCTGAAGCACAGTGGTTCGGACCAATGAGCATCCTATGAAGGAAGAACTACTGACAGCTACGGGCGTGTCTTAGATAGAACGAGAGCAACAAGCCATTGTTTGTTAACAACAACGGCGGGTTCTTAACAAGTTAGTGCAGATGCTGCTGATTGCATCAGTTATACCAGATCTGGAGTATTTCTTAATTAAAAGAAGAGTAGAGAACGGCAGTGAAGGCTTTTCTCGATGGATGGTTACCAACTGGCTCCACTGGTGAGAAGAATGAGAAAAATGCAAAATCTGATTGGTTGTTACCCCGTGACAGACAGATGGTTCACCCTATCACCTGCCAAGTATTTTTTGAAAGCGCCTGCCATTTTCCAAACATTTTTCGACGAAGCCTTCCCAGATGGTTCTGTATAACAAACCATCTGGAGCGTCAGGTTAGTTGGTTGGCCAAAAGAAGCAATTGGAATAAATCAACATGGGCTATGGAAAAATGGTTTAAGACTTTTTCAGTATTTTCTGACATTTACAACAACAAAAAAAAAAAAATCAACAAATAATCAAAAAATGAAAATGACAATGATGATAGTAATGACTTTACACTGCTTCAAGAATCAAATTTCCATCAAAATGTGACATAACACAACCCAAACACATCGGCGAATATATTTCAATAAAATGCGAAGCTCTAAAAGGTACCGGTCGCTTTGATGGTTGGCCTCGTTTTTCTACTTTTTTAACCAAAACAGTGGTTTTCTATTCCAATCATAGAGAAACTACTTTAGTGAAGGAACCTCTAGATGAACCAGGATGTTAGGTGATCCATACTGCACTAAACTAGCCCCGGTTGTCAGTTCAGTGAGATCCAAATGTTCAGTGATTACATCTAAATGTAATCAGTGAGTAAATGAAAAAGACTGAACCACTGTATGATGAGGGTTCAGCAACTTGCATAGGAATGTTAGGAGGTGATAGGGTGAAGCTATGGAGGGATAAAGCTCAATTTAATTTTTTTTACATTTTTAACATTTAGCAGCTAAGACATTTCCATTTCTTACATCATTTTATAAGAACCAAGTCCTCCAGTAAAGGGTCACCAAGGGGTCAGCTAACCAGATATATAATGCTCGTGTTGAAAATGTTAGATGTGATGTATGAATGTTGCTGAGGAGAAGTGAAAGGTGACTTTGTCCAAATGGCAAGGGTGAAATGTGAAACCTTTTTTTTTTTTTTAAGTTCCATGCACTCACAGAAGCAGCCAAAACAATCACAATGCTCCACTGTGAGAATGAATACATACAGATTCCAAACAACCAGTCTCCACAGCATAGCTCACTGAACAGCTGACCAGCACAGCCTGGCATATTCCTCATTTTGGGTGACTGTAGCCCGTTTACCCCAGACACAGCAATTAGAAAACAATTATACATCAGTGAAGTGAAACAAAAATGAAACTTTTACTTACTGAATTCAGGTATGTTGAGTTCACACCGGTTCCTAACCTCAAATGAAGAAGATGATGCTCCCGCTGCCACTACCCGTTTTTCCAAATTTCCTGCGGAGTCCTCTAAAGTTAACCTGTCCATAGAAAATTAGAGCACATGTTTTGAAATGAAAAACAACAGCTTATAGTCTGTAATGTGTTTTCCAAATTAAAAAGACCAGTGTAGCCCCCTAAAAGCCAAAGATTTTTTGAGGATGCAACTAAGCTAAGCTAAAGACAGTATCACATGTTGTACAACATCACAATATGAAGTAAAGGGGTTATCAAAGATAATGAATCCCAAATGAGATTTTGTCGAGTTTATGGTGACAGCTGGAATTGCCTGAGGGAAATGACTTGCCAAATATACACAGAAATTGTCCACAGTGTTTCCCCACCACTCAACAATGGAATTGCTTTTCTGTCTTCCCAGATATAATCAATGAGTTGAGCAGCCTTTTACTACCATAAAAGTGCAAAGTCTTAAAAGCAGCATATGGTCTTAGCTTCTCTAATCTTGTCCACTGGAAATAAACAGAAGCACATCTGCTGTAGGGTCATTATTAAAGCCTATGGCTAACCCACTGTCACACCAGACAGTAGGAAATTAAAAGCGAAGATGCCAGGAAGAAAGCCAACCTCAGTGGCAGAACAATATTGCTGGTTCACAGTAGTCCCTAGAGACAGACCAGAAGTCAGTACAGAAGGATGCAACTAAATATAGCTTGCCACCATTTTGCTTAGGTAAATCATTTAAAGGTAAATCTAAAGCAACAATCACCAAAACAACACAAGGAGAAGAAAACCACATCAAGTGCTACACTTGTAAAAAAAAAAAAAATGTATCCATTCACTTACTATCAAAAACATATAAATAACAAAAGAAAGTCTTGAGTCAGTGGCCACTGTTTGTGCCACCGTGTCTGATCTGTCAGGGACAAGTGCCTCAGGCACATACAATGGCCTGCAAATGTACATTTGTTCAGCTAAACTATAAATAACCATTCAAATTATAACATTTACAGTTTGTTGTGTCATTGGTGGACTGGGTTGTGAACACAAGTGTTAATTAATCACTGAGGGGTTAAAACAAAAAAAGGGGTCACCATCTGCTTAGACTTCCCAGCATGCAGCATGCCAAGAGTGTGTGAAGGACCTGTGGGACTGCCCAGGGCTGTTCTCAGTGCTACTGCCTGCCTCAGTGCCTCGTCAAAAAACTACACTGAGACACAAAACCATCTACATATGCTACTGCTTAACTCTCCATGGATCATTTCAGCCTCACAGCCCAGCTCTACTGGGACCAGCTTAACTATCTATCCAGTCTGGTGGAGTGCATGGGGCTGATTCAAAAATTGCAAAAAGAAACTATTCTTATTTTTTTACAAAGTCTCATAGAAAATTGTACCCTGCAGTGAAACTAACTGCTTTGAATAGGGAAGTCATGATATAATGTAATATTTCAATTTATCAGAGAGGTGTTAAGTACAGTTATAATATGACAATGTGTACCATTTCCATGTGACATAAAGAGCTGTGCTGTTTTTCTGCATGAGAGTCATTAGTGAGAAGAGGTTGAAACAAAAGATGACAGAATCTTTGAGGGTTGGCTGAGGTGACAATACCCTGCAGTCACAAGCGTTCCTGGAAAAAGAAAACAGTCTAAAAGGTCAACATCCAGGCCAGATCTGACCCATTTGCCAGAGCCACTTCTGTATTCAGACTGTTAAGCACTGCTATGTTAACAGTGAAAATATCTAATGCTTTTGTAATGCTTGCTTTGGATAAAAGGACAGAGATGGTGTTGAACACCTACCTCAGCCAGAAAAATTGCTGATGGCTACATCAGCCCAGCCACAGTACCTTCAACAGACATCCACTGCTGTCCACTCCACATCAATTTTATTTATTTTCCACCAAGCTGAACATTTTGTCACCATGGACACTAAGACCAGAGAAGGAAGCCCCATTCAATCTTTTTTTTTTATTTCCTGGGCCAATTAGAAACACCCGCAAAGCCTGGATGACATGTTGATTCCTGATCACAAGGTGATTATAGAACAACTGTGCTACTGCTGCCATGGAAATAAGGCTTGAGTCATGACAAAGGCAAATCAAATGAACAAGGCTTCGTGCTGAGGGGTAAAATCCCTCATTCATCTCCCCATTCGATTTTTTTTTGATGCATTTTTTGCATTGTGACTGAGATATAAGGAATGAATTAGCCACCATGTTGCTTCCCTCATGTTATTGCCTCCCCTTTGACTTAAGCCAGCAACCTTGGGTTAGGTTTTGTTGTGTGTTGAAAGGCTTGTGCCATTACAAACTTTGGCATGTTCATGCACATTAAGCAAGAGTAATTTTGAAAAACATAGATAAAAAACATAACTGTTCATTGTAAGTAAGTTAAGCTTACATTTAAGTCATCTAATGAACAAGCCTCATGAGAAACAGGAATGAGACTTTCCCCACAGACTGCTAAACAGTAAGCTATAGCTCTGTACACAACACTGACAACATGATTGTTCATTCCGACAGTGCTGCAGCATTGCTGAACTGCACTTGGGACAAGTCTCGACACACCAAACACTAACCTGAACTGTAAGCAGACTCTCCCACTGAGTGATCCACATCTCTTGAGACTACAGCAATGACAACAGCAATCCTAACACACCTGCAGTCAGTCTCATTTGATTATTGCACTTAATCTTACTTAAAATTTGAAGGGAAATGAACAAAATTTAAACAAACTTTTTTAATTTTCATACAAACATTACAGTACACTTAGGTGTATGTCTCCCCTCCTCTTTCTGATAAACCCAGCTGGTATACAGTGGCATTTGTTTTATGAAATATCTTCAGATTCTGCCCTCATTGGGCATTTTCCATCACTCAAATATCCAGATTTCAGTGTGGTTTGGATCTCATTGCCCTGCCAAACCAGTTAATCCACTTTTACTTATGAATTGTGGAGTTAATTCTATTATTATATGAATTAACGATGCCATCTCCTTTCGAAAAAATAACATTTATTCAACGTTTTAACCTATTTCAAAATATAAAAAGTACAACTTTTACGTACTTTTTAAAGTATTGAATTACAAAATTTGTGTGATGTTTTTGGTTGATCAAACCCAGCAGGAACAGACCATGAAACAGCTCTTTCATGCTGAAAAATGTCAGCACAATTTTTTAGAGGGCTTTTAGCTGGGTAACCAAAATAATTAGTTACTCGCAAAAGTTAACCTTTGGCTGTTAAATAACTTCACAGCTGTGGTGACTGGGTGGGGTGTAGCAGCTCAGCCATTAATACAGTTATGGGGCTGAACGATAGAAAAAATAAGAGAATAAATGGTCCACCTCCAAATTACGCGTTTTCCTCACATACACTTGTTAAACAGGAAAATTACTTTTTTTTTCTTTAACGGTTTATTTGACGGAGCTGTCTACCACGCTCGCTCAACTTCTTGTCCAGCTTTTGAAACGTTACCCAACTAACACAAACTGCTGCAACAACAAAACAACTTGATGCAGAGACTAAATGAAATATTTTTTGCAGAAATAGCCGATACGCTTTTCCAAACAAGCAGCGCGAAATGACTTTAGCTAGCAGTTACTTACTGTTAACTCTACAAGACGTTGACAGATACACAACATAGCTTGAAGCATCTTAAAGTAAAATAATAATGTGCTGGGAAGATATAAGAAGTCTTACTTACAGTGGGAAGCGGAGTGGTGTCCAAATAGAGAGACGTTAGCCGTTACTTCGGTGAGTGAGCAGGGAGGACAGTGTGGTGGTTCATCGCAGCGCTCCGTGCTTTCACAAACCCCGGAGCAGGACACAATCCAAGGGAGCTTCCGATTACCATAATAACCTGCGCTCACACGAAAGCGCACATCTGATTTTCTCTACCGTAATATGTGGTGTAGCACTACATCCTGAACGTGGTCTTGGTTGCCACCTCTCAGACTTTTGGCTTGAAACTTTGACTTCATTAAATCGCTGTGGCCATCACACCGCAGTAGGATCGATACATGTGTATTTGTTCACCTATATATTTATTGTACCTATAAAATATATAGGTACAATAGGGAGTTATAGGGAGTTAGGGAGTTATATTATTGTCTTTTGGGATTTCACAGTGTTTCAAAGAGGTGAACCCCTTTTCCCCTGTACTTTTTCCTCAAGCAAAGGAGGAATAATACTTCTTCCAACACTGTTGTACAATGAAGACTTTCTAATTCCTTTACTCTGTTGTAATGTCTTTATAGGCAAAATGTTGTTCCTGTCCTCTCTTTGTCTCTATTTGTGTGACTATTTCTTCCTCTGACCAAAACATCACATACTGTTTAGTGACACATCGTCTTTTCTGTATCATTTCTGTACTGTAAAGCAGCAACACCTCCTTGATGACAGTTAACAGCAAAGAATGTTGTGAAGACTTACACAATGAAGATAATGAGCATTTTTTATTCAACAACGGTGTCAAAGCAGCGGAGAAAAACTGGAAGATTCACTTCAGACATCAATAACTCAATCACTGAGTAATTTGATTCTCATTTAACTCTTGGTAATGCCTTGAATATGTAACTCCCTGCCAAATATATGGTGGCCCTGAGGTGCAAAACATTATATACATACCTGTGTCTAGACTTTTGTATACTCATCAATGCAATTCCAATGAAGACCCTTCCATGCCAACAGAGTATCCACTATACTAAACTATAATAATATCTTTTCAGAAAAAAAATGAACCATTTGTGGTATAAGCTACTCCTGCTGCCTCAGTATCTGTCTGGTATTTCAACATGAAAGTCTTTTGTGATATTGCAGAACAATTATAGTTTAACAGCCCTCTATTTCCTCATTTTGTCTTCGGCGTGTATAAAGGCAGGGTTATGCATCTTTAATTGCCTTTGTAACAGCATCAAGGATATTCATGCAGGTGCTAATAAAACAAGCTCTTCAACTTTGAACAGAGGTGCTGAATTAGTGTTGGAGGAAGAATCTCTGAGGATTTGCTGGCAGAAGCAAAATGAAAGGTGTGAGAGGGGAACGGTACACAGATGTTGGCAGCAGGGTTGAGTAGCACACATTTTTATAGAATATCCTTATGACAACATACATACACATTTCTCTAAAAGAAACAGCGCACAGGTTTCATTCAATATAGGGGTAGAAGTGGACCAAATATATATACACTGTTGCTCATAAATTTGGAATAAAATATTTTTTACCTCTTTCCATGAAATGATTATGACAATGTGATTTATTTCATTTCACCTGGGTAATTGGGACACATAATGTAATCATTGAACCTGGTCAAAAGTACTGATGCATTTAAAATAGGAATAAACAGAGGATTGTGTCTGAAAACAAAATTATTCCAACTTTATGGGCAACAGTAAAAAAGCAAGACTTGTTCAGTCTGTAACTTTTTAGATGTTGGCCACTCTGATGTGATCAGTAAAACACACCAATGTAAATCAAATATAAAAATCAAAATTCCCCAGGAAAGGAACTCTGGAGGGAAACACACAAAACAGTCTCAACTGGGTAACCAATGAATAGGTGTGATGTAGATGTAATAATTATATATTCATAGGGTTAGTACAGCCAAATTCAAGCATTACCCAGCGGTCCACTTCCAGTTATAGTTAAAATATTTTTACACAGCAGATAGATCTTGTTATTAATTAAGGATTTCAGTAGTGGAAATAACCTATCAAAGGATATTGGAGAAGAGTCTGTAATCATCGTTTCAGTGGCATTTTCAACCCACCTGCATGACAGCCATCCTTCGGTAGTTTATCAGGATATTGGACATTCAAGGGAAAGTTTGACATTTAAGAGGGACAGATGATGGCAGTAGGTGGAAGTTACAGGTGAATGGCAGCCAGAGGTATTTTGTAAGAGATAGGAAGGGCATGAGGTTGGGTACGCTGCTGTGAAGATGTAAGAGCACATGAGGAGGGAGAAGACATGGTTTGTGTGGAGAGATATGAGGGGTTGAAACATGAAGCTTCTGCCTTTATTCTATTTATTTTTCAATACATACCATTTTTAGCCTGAAGACAGAGGAATTTGCACATGTGCTGCATGTGATTTGAGCAATGAATGAGAAAATATGGGCTCTAAGAAAGGGGCTGTTTTGTGGGAGGCATGTGTGCTTTGTCTTCACCCACACTGGAACCTGTCAAACAAACAACACTCTTCTTCCGCCCCCAACCTGCAGTGACCAATCAGGTTTTAGTTTCATAAAACTCAATATCTTGCCTCTTGTCCAGTCTTTCTCAAATGAGCTTGTCTGGAACAAGGTGTTTGATAATTGTGGACGAGGGGAAGGAAATATAACAGTAAAACCCATCATACTCGTCACGGTTAAAGAGGCAACAGGGACGTGCAATAATATTTAATTATTCTACAAGTCTCTGCTATGATTTATAATCTAAATATCATCTAAGATAGTTCCAGTCACATCTTGTTCTTGTTGACAGATGAAACTCTGAAAAAAAAAACCCTTTCCTGTAAGAAAATTGTGGCTTTTGGTCAAGGTCTCTTGATTTTATAACCAGCCACGAAGGCTGACCATGGGATCCAAATGGTTTTCGTCTCGTTACACTTAAGAATAAATATCCTTGACCATAAGGAAAAACACAGAATACAGCATGGATTAAGAGTGGTCAGATCATCAGCTCAAAACTAAATACCTCAGTGGACCTTGGTGACACCAGGGTTATGTTATCAGCTCACTTACAGACATCCTACCTCTTCAGCTAATCATGTTAGACAGCCTTCCAGGAATTAGTATTAAATTCCCCCGCTGTGCCTCATCTCACTTCACGTCCCAGGATTCCAGGGTGTTTTTAAAGCATGAGATATCTCTCGCACATGGAAATCATGCATTAAGAGTCCAAAAATCTTATCCTCTTAATCCTCCCTTGCTCCAGGACAGCAGGATATGCTGTTTAAGAGCAAGATTGTGATATTTGATTCATTTACAGGAATGGATTATTCCGGCTTGTTGCCAGTGAGCTGAGAAAACTGATACCAGTCATCACAACAGGAAGACTGTGGGAAATTGATGAGGATGATGACTTCCTGGAAAAGAACAAGAATCAGCCAATACTGTCCACAGCCAGCACTGCCAGGTGAACGGATATGATGAAGCAGGCGCTGTAAAACAGGAGGATGAGAGGTGTTTTCTGGACTTTTGAATAAATGGAGAGGAGGATATTGACCCATGTGGATAAACATTGTCCAATATAGCTGTCATCCAGTTTACTGTATCAAGAGTACAACTGGCCTTGGAGGCCATCCCTTCTGTCACATATAAACACAAAGAGTTGGAGTGAGGTGGGGTGGTGGGTCCATGACGAGCAGCAGTCAGCTGCGCCTCAGCTTCAGCCCAACAGTTGCTCAAAAGGAAGGATGCAAAGGTCAAGTATTATTGCAATCCCCCTCTCCCCTCCACTCTGTCTGCATGCAGGTTTGTTGATCTGGCCTCTACCAGACTATACAAACGCACAGCCAGTTAATCATTTCCCTGGCTCATCCTTTACTTTGAGATTAATCATTATTTTCTCTATCCGATCCTGGAGAGAATTAGAAAACCCACTAATCCAATAATAATCAGGACATAGACTGAATTACCTTTCCGCTGAATAACTTCCACAAAAAGGGAATGAAGCAAAACGAGAAAACAGGAGAGGAGCAACACTTGTGTGGTACACAGTCAAGACATTGTCTGTTAGAAATGCACTTGAAATGGAAATCTGCATCCTACAACACTGCATACAGATTGCATAATTGGGTATATTCAAAAAGATTAAGCAAATGGAAATAGTCTTTTGATATGAAGGAGCTCTCTTAGGTTTTGGCATATTGTGCTGCTACGTGGGATCCAGCTAAATATTTAGCACCTAAGCTGCTCTTCTTATGGAAACAATGGTGTTCCTTCTTTCAAATATAATTAAATTTCCTCTTTGCCTCAGCCAAAAGCTATTTTGAGAACCTGGCTCTTATTTGTTCCAAGCAGGAGAAAATTATTAACCCAAACACAGGCTTAATTCAGATTTGAGGGCATTTTACCTCCCAGCTTTGACAACAGAGCCTGAGTAGTTGACTCAAAAGGAGCCAAATCAGATTTTATATGATATATGAAACATAAATGTTTCACAAGCTGAATGATGCCCCAGGGCTGTTGTAGAGGAAGTAAAAAAAAAAACATACAGAAATGGAATCTTTAATATAACAATCCAACAGGTCTCAGTTAGAAAAAATGCTAATAACTTCATTAAAAACAGATTATTTCTAATTAATTCTGGTTTGAAATGAAAAGAGGTGTTGACTGTGCCATCAGCTGACTGGATGCACAAACAAGACTGTACACTTAGAAAACACCAACAGTGTTTGAACCAATAAATACAAGTGTAATGGATGAAAACCACTCCCATAACACCCATATCTGCCTGGGGTATGCCGCAGATGGTATAAATCCAGGCCTACAGCATTTCCCTCAGGATCGACACACTTCAGCCTCTAGAATGAACATATGACTTCCTGCACACGCTGCACACGCTATTTACATATTTCATCATTAAGGAAGAAAACTGATTAGAGGAAGAGATTAATCATTTCATAGCAAACATGGGCTAGCCTCTCTCCTCCATTGCACTGATCGCACTGAGGCTACACAAAGGCACACACTGCAACATTCACAGAAACTGAACTGTTTTAATATTTTAGAAGGAAACTTTTGTGTTGCTCATACAAAACAGATTTGGAGTGTTTAATGAGATAATTGTCATGTATAGTAGCAGGAAA